CAAATGCGCACGAAGAACCCTGGATTATGTTCAAATGAAGTGCCGATCGAACCCGTTCCTCGTGTATCCCATCCAATCCGACGCGAACCTGTTCACTATAATATCATTCCTTTTCTTCTTCCTTCTTTTTTTCATTTCTTTTTATCTATCACAAAATTTATATATTATTTTTTATTCTTTATCTCTTCATCTACGTGTTTAATTTTATTTATCGTTTTATCTATTGGAAAATAATATTTATATTAGAATAAAATTATACACACACACACACACACACACACACATTGTGTACCTGTATTAAAATAAAAAAAAAAATATATTCAACTAGACCGTATACATAGATATTTTTATAAATTAAATTATTTCTAAATATAGATAAAAATAAATCTTTTCGTTAATTTATTTATTTACTTATTCAAACAAAATCCTGAGCTATTTGAAAATGAAATATCAAATAGATGTCGCGTTACGAGAAAATGACAATTTTCAATTAAAAGGAGGAAGGACGGGGCTGGGGGGGGGGAAGTGAAAACGAACAATATAATAATAATGCATAGGTAAGTTGCATACGGTAGTATGCAGTATATATATATATATATAGGTACGATAATGGTTGGCATGATACGTAGGAAATTACACGCGGTCATCGAATCGATAACGTGTATCCTTTGAGAAGCCGCACAACACTGTGGATAATCTTTCGAGATGAGGAAAGCAATACTACTAAGAGAGACGGCTCATTACGTTCACTATGGCATATATGAGTAATATATCGAGGATTATGCGTTGTGTGGACGTGCTTCGATGGGAATCGCACAATTATAGTTTCGCAATGTTAGTTATGTTTGATACATACGTATATATATGTATATATATGGTGTATCTATCCTAATAAGTACCACAAATAAAGTTAACAAACCCGTTGCGTGCATTTACGCAATCAATGGATTTTCCATTTAAATATCGATATGCCGATGATTCTCGATAAGATACCTATCATTGACTTTCCTTTTTGCTAATAGTTCAATTACAACCATGAACATATATTACTACGAGATGAGATAGGATCTATCTCTCTCGGTAAGGTATTATATTACCAAGATCAAATTTGTCGATAAGTACTTTTAAGTACGATACGAAGAGATATATATATGTATATATATATGTGCAACTGTGTATTATTACATCTCTATCACAAGAAAATTGAAGGTTTTTAAGCATATTTTTTTAATTTTCTTTTTGATGAAAATATATCTCACGATATTCGTAAATCGATAAATATATATATATGTATATGTGTATGGTATATATCTATATTAAAGATAATAATTTACAATTAGTACAATTTGTGTATTTTTTGTTCATGTTAAATGTTGAATTGTTGAAATATTATTATCACGAATGATTTTTCTTGATTTCTTATAATACACTTTTTAACGAGTAAAACTATTGAAAATGTTCTCGTGTAATTAATGTTCGAGAAAGTATAATATATCGAAAGTATGGGTGGATAGGGGGTGTGAGGAAGGGGGAATAGGAAAGATTCGGTACGTACGTACACGATCGTTATGACCAATCGTAATTCGTTACGTCACGAAATCTCCATTCTCCATTTTTACGAGTAGGGAAATTTAATTATCTTCGGCTTTATATTCCTTTCGTGTCCCGATTTTGATTTTCTCTTCTTCTCAGCAGTTTGATTCTCTCTCTCTCTCTCTCTTTCTCTTTCTCTCTCTTCTTATCTACTTTCGCATTAATTTTTACACGAAGTATAATAAATTTTCGCGTTTAAGCGAAATTAGGTATTTTTCTTTTTTTTTTCGTAGAATTATTTTAACACGTACAATTACTGACATATAAAATCCTAACGAATTGTGTACGTATGGGGGTGAGGTGGGGTGGGGCCTAAACGAGGAACAACGTCGTTGATTAGCAAAAGAAAATTTAGAAGAAGAAGATAGAAGAACAAAGAAACCATAGGATTTATCGATTAATTTAAAACGATTCCATCGTACCGTTAGAGAAACAAAATTACGTACGCTAATAAATATGGAGACGTTGTTTTTTGTTCTTTTTTTTTTTATTTTTTAAGTAATAAAATATCAACTAAAAAGTACTACTATCATAAATCTTCGTGGCAATAATTTGCGTCCCATTTTACGTTTATATATATATATATATATTTTTGCGTATATTAAATATACTTTTCTTTTAAGATCAATTTTACGAGTGATCTTTTACGACTGAAAAAGCTTCGAAAATGATTGAAAGTGTTGATCAAAAAACAAAAGGGTGAATAGGAGGTTCGGTGGGTGTTGTTAGGTGGTGAAGTTAAAGAGAAATAAATAGTTATCTACTAATGTATCTCTATGCAAGTAAGTAAATAAGTATCGTATACTATCATAAATTATTATAAATTCAATAAAACGAGGGAACACATCTTCATTCCGCGTGCGTGAGTGAATTGGCATCTTTAAGAATAACATAAGAAGGATATATACCTAACGTTGAGATAAATCTAACGAATCGTCTCTCCTTGTGGCTATTCGCGAATAAGAAAAAGAATGAAATAAAAAGGAAGAAGAAGGGGTTGGAAGAGGAATAGGAGAAGGAGGAGGATGAAAACGCGCATATCGTCGTCTGGGGGAGGGGAGGGGGGGGGAGGGCGACGATCGAAAGGAGCTTCGGGGTTACTTGAAAGTAATAAAAAAAAAAAAAGGGGTAAAAAGGGAGAAAGTTAAGAAAGTCAAGTAAGTAAGTAAGTAAGTAAGTAATAAATAAATAAATAAATAAATAAATAAAGAGAAAGAAAAAGAAAGATGGACGTGTAACAGCGACCTTTGGCGTCGTCCTCGACAGCCGCAATAAGTCGGTGCGGCGGCACCGCAATAGCACTATAAATGCGACGGCGCGTAGTATGAAAGAATGAGAGAGAAAGAGAGAGAAAGAGAGAGAAAGAGAGATATATATAGAGTGGTAGTGGTGGTAATGGTGGTAGGGAGAAAAGAGTATTCTCCGTAATTAAGTTCCTCTGCTCCTTCGACTGGAAACGGGGCACGTCCCTGAAAGAAAGAAAGAAAAAAAGAGAAATAGAAAAATAGCAAGCAAGAGAGAGAGAGAGAGAGAGAGAGAAAGAAAGAATAGTTAATAAGAATAAGAAAGAATAAAAGAAACGATGCGGTATAAGTTAAAGAGAGCAACACAAGTATGAAGAAGAAGAAGAAGAAAGAAGAGACACGATGCAACAACCCTGTGCTCTGGTAAAATAGAAAGAGAAAGAAAAAAAGAAAAAAAAAAAAAAAAAAATAAAAGTAGGCACGACGATCAAGCAATAAATAATACAAGAGAAAAGAAATGCGCGCGATCTCCTGCAACATTCTACTCAAATGTTAAATAGGTATCAATTTAACCTCGACCAATGAGAGATTAGAATGGGCGGGACGAAACTCTAGTCGATTGGTTGCACACCACTACTATGGGCGTAGTCTTAACGTCATAGCCTTTCACGGGAGGTTCCCGAATGTAACTTCGGAGTGGGGTTTAAAGGTAAGGCACGTATGGTGGGGGTGGAACTACCTGATTTCTTTGGTACCCTCACACAGCGTACCCGTCTCTCTCGCGCGGCGACCGGATCCGGATTCACGCACGTCTCTTCGGACGTAGCTAGCTAGTTAAGCACAAGGGTCGTCGAAAACTTTACTTTATCAAGTTTAACCCTCAGTTATACCTTTTTTGTTTTTCTCTCTCTCATTCGCGACCTACAGTACCTGTTTTTATCGGGGAAGAAAAAAAATATATATATATATGTAGAGGAGAGAGAGAGAGAGAAAATAATATATTGAAAAGATATTTGTTACTTTTCATATATTTGGTTTTTTTCAATACTCGTTCACGTGGGTGTCGAATTATTTTCTACAAGTTAAAACCAACGACGCATTTTTGGGTTCGTTTTATTGGATCACATAGAAGAAGAAGAAGAAGAAGAAGTTTAATTTAAGAGACACACTGAAGTTTTTATTTGTTATATATAATATATAACAAATATATTTTTCTTGGATACGACGCGAAGGAAGGAACGTTGTTAGTGAGTAAAACGTGTGAAACTCCAAAAATTGTTGTTGTTCCGTGAACTACTTAAGTTTGTTCGTTGAGTTTTTTCTTCTTTTTGTTTTTTCTCTTCATTTTTATATATTATTTACGTATAATACGTTTGTATATTATTTTATCGTTCTTTTTACCAAAAAAAAAAAAGAAAAGTGATATATTATTATAGACGGAAATAAAAGGAACAGTCTATAGAGTGTTTCAAAAAAAAAGAATAAAAAAAGCGACACATGTCATGGACAATATCGTACTGGGACGTGGATTTACGTGTTGCGAAATATCGCTTTATCTCTGCATATAAAAAGGAAAGAGAAAATTTCTAGAGACAGGGATGATCAAATTGTATCTGACGTTGCAACGTAAATACAAAATGGCCGCCGTTCTGTACGGGGTTATACGGAACGCCCTTAGTATCCTATCGGTATCCAAGTTCCACGTGTTTTTATTCTATTAATTAATAATAGTTTAGAGAAAAATGGAGATGTAGTATATATTATATTAAATAATATCCATCTCTTATACAAGAAGAAGAAGAAGAAGAAGAATCGACAATATACTCGAGTAATCGAAAAGAAAAAGAACAACATAAGTTTGAATAAAGATTTTCTTGATCGTCGTAATGTTATCAATCGAAGAAAAAACGTTTACGATAACGTCATAATTTTTATTTTACACGCGCGTATCGATAGAAAAAAAAGAAAACACCATTAAATAAATATAAATAAATATACGTGTCTAGTGTATACGCGAATAAATAAATAAATAAATAATTAAAAATAAGTTAATTAATTAAATTATAATTTGTCGATGAAAAAAAGTATAGTGAAAAATATATTAAAATAATAAGAGTTAGAATTGTCGATAAAAAGAAGCGAAAAAAAAAAAGAATCTATATTATGTCGGAACACGGTGAAAGCGATTTGGACGCGACGGAGGAGATTAACGTTGACGATTCTGATTCGAGAAGTAGTAGTCCACGAAATTATACTAATCACGAGGATCGAGGAATGAATATCGTTGTACAGGAGACATCGGAATGTTCGAATTCGCCGCCACCGAGTCAGACCAGTTCGAGGACTGTTCAAAACGAATCACCACGGAGTCATCCATTCAGTATAAGTCGTTTATTGGGGGAAAGTCAAAGACAAAAAACTAAAAGTTCGTCGGAAGAGGAAGTTGACAGTGATAAGGAAAGGAAATGGTCTCCCTGGGAGGAAGGAAACAACAACAATAACAACAACAACAATAACAATAACAACAATAATACTAATAACAATAACAATAGCATTAGCCATCGGGGTAGCTCGTCGAATACGTTGGACGATGGCCGACGTTCTTGGGGTCATGAACTCGAAGAAAAAATGTCGGAGAAGGACGACGACGATACCGGGAGCACTGCGGAAACGCAAACGACAAATTCCACGTCTTCGATTCACTGCACGACTGCAGCCGATCTTCTTGCTCCCTTCAGATTATTTCCAACCGGTTCGAGTCTTATCTATACCGGCGGCGGCGTCATAAGGGTGCCTGCACACCGACCACCCGGTGCCAATGGTACACCAACCGGTGCCATACCAGCACAAGCTCTAATACCACCATGGAGCTTGCAAGCTCTTCAACATAGTCAGCAACAGGCAGCAGCGGCTGGTTTGCATAGGGCGAGTTTACTTGCCAATTTGGCTGCTCACCCTTTACAAGCTCATCCACATCTTAAGGACAGATTGGCAGGTGAGACACAATACGATACAAGATTTTTCTATTTTCTGTTCGAACGTAACTTTCTTTTTTTATTTTTCTTTTTTATTCTGGATTATTAGAAAAAGTTTGACGCGTTTCAGAGAACGTTCCATTTATCATTGACGAATGGAACTAAGAATAAAACAATGTGAAAGGATATAATGATATATATATATATATCGGATGATGATTATTATGATGTACCGAACCTAGATTACTACTTGAATATTTTCTTTTTCTGTAAGAGGGTGCGGCTGAAAAGAAAAGCAAACAAAGGATATTATCATATAACACGTAACACGTTAATACGGTTCTGCTAAATTATGCTTTTCAATTCCGGTAATCGTGCCATTATGCTCTCGTTAACTCGAGTCACACACACCATCACCACCACGACGATGCACGAGAAACGTAACTAACAACGTTCGCTTATCGTTTAGAAAGAAAACACAGGGAGAAATAGAGAATAATGAAATTCTTAATGGACGTGACAGGCTTTTACGTATGTGTGCGTGTGTGTATATGTCTCTACGTGCGTGTGTTATGTGTGTCTGTATGTGAAATGGCAGTGTTCTCTATATTTTTTTCTTTTTCTTCTCTCGAGGGGGAAAAAAAACGCGGAGGATATATTAATGTCAAAGCTCGAGCAGCATATTAGCAACGATACGTGACAATTTGTAACACCTGCTGTTAGTAATAATAATGTCTTTCTTACTACTACTATTTCTTCTTCTTCTTTTTCTTCTTCATTATCATTATCATCATCATCATCATAGTCGTCGTCGTCGTCGTCGTCATCTTTATCTTATTTTATTTCTACTTCTACTTCATCCTATTGCGTTACCTTGAAAAAAAATCTCTCACGATTTCTATTTAATTAATTCGATTATAGGAAATGGATAGAAGAGAAGGAAAAAAAAAAAAAGGTCGTTTGAATATTAAGTAAGAAGGTATAATAAGCCAATTTCGATGTTAATATCGAAAATAAAGTCTCATTCGTTGCATTTACATATACAACATCTGGGCGAGCATATAAAAAATCGATTAAAAAAATAATAATAATAATAATAATAAAAAAAGAAAACTAATTCTACATATCTTTTTATACTATTCTCGTTATACGATTTCGAATATTATGTGTTTTATATAATACATACATATATATATATATACATATATATATTTATCTCGTAAAACGCGTATCGCAATATGTCGTATCAACGTTGGCAAAACCTTTAACAAAGGTACAATTTTAAAATGGACAAATATTAAATCGACAGGAATGCTTTAATTCGCAAAATGGGTCTATTTAATAGACGTCTATCTCATTTTTCCATCGTTTTAATCGATCTACCAATGAAACATTAATGCCGTAATTATTATAACCGTTCATTGGAATATGAAATCATGCTAGATGTCCTATCAGATAATATTCGATATATTATAACTGATTGGTTAGTTATATGGTAAAAGAAAGAGAGAGAGAGAGAGAGAGAGGAGGATAAGGGGAGGGGTTACAAAATAGAATAAAAAGAATGAAAGAGTGAGGGAGGATAGGAGGGGAGGGGGAGACGATAATTCGTACAATTACTCAAATTGTCGGAACATTATTCATTTCGAGAAAGAGAAAGAGAGAGAGAGAGATAGATCATTCTGGGATTGGAGCAACGACCTAACATAGTATTCGATTCTATATCACCTTCTCGTCCACGATCAAGTGACGAAATATAAGAGAAAGGGGAAGGGAGGAGGAGGAGATGGGGTGGGGTAAAGTTCTGGGATTCTCGTGTCGTTGATCGGTGATATCAATTTCTCTAATTGGACTCGTATATCTTTAGCTTGTTATCTCTTTCTCTTTCTCTATCTATCTATCTATCTATCTTTCTCATGTAGGTAGATATATGTCTTGATGATGGGCATAGGTGTCTCGAAAGAGAAGGATCAACGTTTGTTATACGTTGCTATGGCTCGGAGAAGATGAACCATGCATAGCTAGCTAGGTATCCATATATAGGTGATATCAATTATGACTCGGTTGGAAATTATTCATTCGGAGCCGTCGTTACGATCCGCGACGGGCGACGAGTTGAAATCCGTTGAAAACTCGCACATATTCGGTATTACGGTTATGCTTGTTATATTTTAATAGCGCGAAGACAGCTCCGAGTCATCTCTTATGTTATTTACATCTATATCCTACATTTTATATATATATATATCGATGCATACATGTATTATAATATGTACATGTATATGATTGTATAAATTAGTTAGTTTTTATGTAACATGTATTATAATATGTACACGTGTATGATTGTATAGATTAGTTAGTTTCTATGTAACATGTATGTATTTATAATTATTTTTTAAATTTTAATAACACGATGACAGTTCCGAGTCATCTATTATGTTATATGCATCTATATCTACATCTACATATGCTTATATGTATGTATTTATATAGATTGTATTATTTACGTATAATTTTGATTCATATAGATTAATTATATGTTTCAAATAATACTTTACTTATCATATTTATATAATTTCTATGAGTGGCAGTATGTGATATATATATATATATATATATGTATAAATTCGACAAGATTATAATATATTTTTCATCGTAAGTTGTAAAATAACCGTCGGAGATTTATCCGACTAAGGTGTCCCATTTTAAAAGTCGCCAGAATCGAAACCAGTTTTCTCTCAGCAGAAGGTTTCCATCTCTCTTTCGCGTACTTCAGATAAATTGGATTAACAGTCGAAAAAAGTAAAGAAGTATAAAAAGAAAAGTAAAGTTGGAAAAAAGAGAGTGGGTGGATGGGTGGGTGGGTGGGGGGGTGGAGAAGAATACAATATATACGAGTACTCTCTTATATTATAATATTTATTTAGCATTAGTGGTTAAATATAATCGATAATAATTTCGATTAAACATTTATGAGTATTCATACTGAAATGATATTTTATCTAACGATTATCTCTCAATATTATATTTTAAGTATCAAGAAAACCCGCAATCTTTTGGAAACAAAACAGAAAGAGAGAGAGAGATAGCCGTAAGGGTATATAGAGAAAGAAAAAAAAAATAAAATAATAAAAATAAAATAAAAAATAAAAGAAGTCAAGACGAGTGGAAGATATTGAGCTCGTCCTACTTCTAAGTACGTAAATAATAATTCTTACTTATTTCGTTGCGCCTGAGGGACGTTGACGAGAGAACGAGAAACAGAAACAGAAACAGAATGAGAATGAGAGAAAGAGAAAAACGTTAATTTGCTTGAATCGCAAAAAAGGAGAGTAACGAAAGGCATCGGCGCGTAAGGGATTATTACGCGGCTTGGATCATTCCGCGTGTTCGCGAATGAGAAAGAGAAAGAAAGAGAAAGAGAAAGAGAGAATGAGAGATACAGAAAGAGAAAGAGAAAGAGTAGGAAGGTGAACGTTGAAATACAGGTACGTGCAAAATACATAATTAGTGTCTACCTACCACTCCTGAAGCTGAATTCTCGATGCTGACTTTTTCGTGCAGGTAATGAAACCCCGCCATTACTTGGCTGGCGTGAGTAAAATGTATTTGTGCGTACGAATAACATTACTCTCTTCTCTCTCTCTCTCTTGATTATTCCGTTCAAAGCATGTTTATTACTGCTGAAGTAAGAGAAAAAGATTAAACTAAATAGACGAGAAATGAAAGAAAAAACCGATAGGTAAAATGAACTTTTCGATATAACACATACGACATTGTATATAATATAGTTGATGTTAAATGAAACAAAGTAATAGTTAATAGTAAAACTGGTGTAAGATTTACCTATATATCATCAATATTATGGTGGTTGGTATAGGAACTTTGTTACGTCAATTAATTCCTTTTTTTTTTTTCATCTTCTTATGTTAAAATAAATTCATTTGATATGCTTGTTGTATATATGTAGGAATGTTAATTAAACATCATTATCGATAGCATATATGATATTATTAATTTTATTAATCATTAGAATTTTGTATTCTAGATTATATTTGATCTTTTTTTCTTTTCCATCGGTAGACAATTTTTGTTGTCCGAACTTGTGTGAACACAAGTGCGTTAAGCAACGTTGACGATATTATATTCGGGGGTTGAATTTGATTTATTTATATTTGGGATAGGTGGATATAATTGTAAATAGTATTTATAATATAGTTTAATTTTACGTTTATCGTGAAAGTTAGGATGTGTTACGCCAATGAAGGATTCCACCTTTAAATGCAGCCTCGGCCAATTCTACGAAGACTCTTAAACTCGCGTCAATGCATTCGTTTTCGTGCGAGGGAGAGAGAGAGAAAGAAAAAGAAAGAAAGAAAGAAAGAAAGAGAAAAAGCATCCATCTTCGTACCAACGATCACTATTAAATACTTAACCTTTGCCATAAAGCAGATAAGAGGAAACGCATTGCGTTACTTTTATTTTTCTTCGAAAAAAGCATTTATTTCATCCAGCTGTGTATTATCGATACAAAACACGCATTTTACATCGGACTTTTAACAGTTATCGCTAATTATACTCGATCGGATTGATGATATGTAGAATTGGGACCTTTTGAAATTTAATAAGAAACAAAAAAAAAAAAAGAACAAAATAATCGTAGATATTTGAAAATGTTATTGGGTCGGTGGTCGATAATATTTACAGGATTCCTTCCTTTTTCTTGACTAAGATTAAAACAACGAATTATATTTTATTAATATCATTTGGCCATATTATACGTGCGTGATTAGTATGTTTACGTGAATTGAAAGAAGAAAAAAAAAAAAAAGAAAAGAAATGTTAATCGATACAATATAATAATCTCGTGCGAGATATCAATGCGCGACAAACAAAATATAATATATAGATTATCTGAATTAATATATTTTTTTGTTTTGTTTTTAATATTATGCAACGTGTTTTGTTATCTTTGCGACACACCTTAGTATTTTTTTTTTCTTCTTCATTTGTAAATCCT